ATAATAATAACGATAAAGAACTCAGCACCTAGTTTTTACAACTACACAAGTTATACTTTGGCTGGTGAAAGATTTTTTTTTTTTGTACGCACTTTCAAGTATTTGGTTTGCTCTTATTTTTTTCTCTTTCAAGCCAGTCTGAACTTCAATGTCCAGATTCCTTTTTCCCAATCCACTGTTTAAAAGTTCTGAAAAATTTGTAACTGCTTGAAAAATGGAATCAAAATTTTTATTTACTATGCTTAATTCATTAATACTGTCTTAAACCATCTTATAGGCTCTTAGTATCTTAATTTTAGTTGTTTGCAAATATTCGGACAATCGCCAAATACTTTTAAAAATTGTGTCGTCAAAATAAATTTAAAACATGTCAATGAATCTAAAAGAGCGTCCGCTCTGTAACGGATAAAATAATGATAAATAGTATTCGAATTTCGAATATTAAACTTTTGCATAATTATTAGGCAAACTAATTCGGATGAAACCGTAAAAATGTAAAAAAAACTAAAACTTTAGATGACTTTACTTTTTCTTTCTTGCCACAGCAACAGTATTGAAAAAATATTTTCAAGATATAATATAAATATTTTCACATAAACACATAAATATTTAATAATATATTTAATAAATACATAAATATTTACACAGCAACAGTATTAAAAAAACGTTCAAACTATTGAAATCTTATTTAAATAATCATGTGTTAACTACTATGACTCAGTTTCTCTGACAGATTTCCTATCTACTCAAATAACGAACAACACAGAGACTCTCAGGAAAGACAGAAAACGGAAACCAGAGGTGGTTAAAAATGCAAATTCTAAAGAGAGAAGTGGTAATTTGGAGATCATAAAATAACATTACAATTTCCGAATGGAAACACTTACCATATCCATCGCACACATTCCACAATAGGTAAAAGTTACCATGATCCAGGGAAAGAAAAATACAGACTAAATACTGACCGAGACTACAATAACTCAATGTCAGGCATTTACTGAAGTGATTAGGTCTTATTCTATCACTCCGATCTCTGAAAAACTTTAAGGTGGTACAAAAGGTAGGAGTCCATATCCTGGAAATGATGTTAAATAACTCTATTTTCTTTTATATCAAACTTTCTAATAGTAAATAATTATTTCATCTTGATGAGTTTTGAGAGAATATTATAAAAAGTTTAATCGTAGAACGACAAGTTATCCATTGACAATTCCACAGAGTAGAAAAAATAAAACCTACAAAAAAATCAATGTATGAGAGAATCATAATATGCTTGCGGATACTGCGGTGACCATCCAGCTTTCTGTATTGATCCTTGATTTAGATTGTCTAACCAAAACATAGGAGAAACAGATAAAGCATCAACGGTTTTGAGCGATGCAGATGATAATTAATATTTATATGTAAATGTTATTTTTAAATAAAAACCAAACAGTTGAGTTTTTATGTAAAAACTATTTTTTACATAAAAACTCAATTGATTGGTTTTATTTTTGTTATGATAAAACCTGCAGAACAAAAAACTATTGACATTTAAACTAAAGCGAGAATACTGTCGCCCGTAGGTAAGTAGAATTTAGTACGTAACACGTTAAATTTTTATTTTTTTCAGCTTAAAAAATTAGGTTCGTCATTTTCGAAGTGATTGCAAAACTAAGAAAATAAGAATTTACAATATTGAATGGAATTGAAAGTTTCGATTACCACAAAATATGGTAATCATAAAATTTTCTATTGCATTTTTTAATCTTAAACAATAAAAAGTGTTGTTCGGAAAACAAAGTAGTTTTATACTCTGTCATTTTTCTCGAACAATATTAACTACTTAAAACAAATATTAACAAAAATTAAAAATATTTTCTACTTAAAACAATTTTTTTTTAAATTAACTTACTTTACAAAACCATTAAAATTAATTTGATCTTCTTTACAGCAACCAGCCAAATAAATCTAAAGAATTATTTTATTTTTATATCAAAATGTTCAAATGAAACAGAAACTAACTCTAAAATAACATTGACTTTTAGTATTGTTCAATTTTATTTTATTATTTTATTCACAAAACTAAATGAAAAAATAATCTAATTTTTTATTTAGTTATGTGAATAAACTATTTTTTAATAATAACAACCCTTATTTTTTTATCAAAACAATTTTAAATATAGTTTTCAATTTTGAAAATCAACTTTTAACAAGTATTAAAAAAAGAAACTACTTTTTTTTTCTATTATAAACGTTATTTTAAATGCATTTAAACTTATGCTCATAACTAACTTTTTATGTAAAAAAAATTATTTAAGAGCTATCAAAAAGTAAGAAACCGTTGTCCCATCTCTAACTTTTACTAAAACTCTTTTAAAGACTTTTTTGTTTATAAAATAATTTTATTTTCTGCTTTAATCAAAAAGTCAATATGTAATTTTACTTTACATTTTACTTATCTTAAGCAGCACAACAAATTCAACATTATTCTGAAATGGGCCCAACCTGGTGAGCTGCTCGCGATAAGTTTATATTAGCATTTTTTGTTTGCATTCAACACATTTTAAAATTAATTTTTTTATTAAGACTTTTTTAATACTTCTCAACAACAATACTTCATCAACAAAATTTATGCACATGTAGGGCCGAAGACACCGTGTCGTCGGCTCTGAGATATGCTAAAATTTCACAATAAATATAGCAAAAATCTTTACATTTAAATTAAATAACACCTACAAGACTTTTAGAAAGTTGTTTGATAAGATGACGATTATACTTCTGAAAAGAATGTCCCATCAAATCGAATGCAAATGCCTACAAAAAGAAGGTTAAACTAAAAAAAATAAAGTTATATGTATTTTTTTGTAGAATTTTTAAAAACTATTAAACAAAAGTATAACTTAAGAGCTTAAAAACCTGTTTAGGTATAAAAAATAAATTTTCTCTATAAGTTTTTGAACTATTTTCTATAAGTTTTGAGACTATTTAGACTTTTATAAAAACTCTATAAGTTTTTAGACTAACTTTCTCTATAAGATTTTAGACTTAAAAAAACTTATATTTTTTTCTGCTTATAAACTATTATTATTCTTACGTCTAATTCTTCGCTCTCCATAATATCAATCTTTGTACTTGAGGTATAGTTTGTCCAGATCTAGTAAAAAAATATAACTATACTATATTTATTTCATCAATCCTAAGACATTATTAAAACATCAGTTTTCTAACCTTTAAAACATCAGCAAGTGAGTATTTTGATCTTCCACGATATCTTTTCAAAAAGTTAAACTCTACAATTCTTAGTGTTTCGTATATCTAAAAAAAAAAGCATCAAGAATGTAAAAGTGCTCGTTCAAGAAGCGACCATTGTAGCTCGTTCAAGAAGCGACCATTACATTATTGAAGAAGAGAAGAACAGATACTTCTATGCAACAATGCGGCAGAGCCTAAAACTTAGCAATGAATCCATCAGTAATTCAATTTTGGACCTTGCCTTAATATGAGAAGCTTATTAACAAAAAATATTCGATATAACAACAGAATTCTGTGCAAGGGCAATAAATGTAGACTATAGAACCGATAAACAATAGATGTAAATAAAAACAAGCTTAATTAAAACAAAATTTAAGAGAGGCAATATTAGAAGATGCTGAATTTACAATAAATTGTATATTTCAGTTAAACAGGATTTATAAACATATCGTTTTTATATGGTATATTTTATAAAAAATGTGGAGTATTGTATGGCTTCTGATGCTGATAATCCGATACCAATAGTGTTGGACCCTAACCGCCAAATGGAGGAAGAGAATCCTGGATATGTAGCGGAAGAATGAAAACAATGAAAAGTAAATATAAAATACTTGTGTACAAAGATTTCATTACAATACGTCTTGTGCTCGAATAGTTTTAATGAGATAATTATTTTTACATTCTAAATAAATTCTTGAAGATATCAATGAAAGAAGAATTTACTATCATTTTATTAACATGGAAAATAAAGTAAGTGGACTCCAAGATCCCCAAAGAGAGGAAAAATGGTTTGTAGAAAAACTCCTAATCAAGTCTTAGATAAGATTAGAGAACATATAAATAGTTTTCCAACAGTTGATTTACACTAACACAGACAGAATACTAACAAAAAATATTTAGAGTTGTCATTGTCATTGTCATCAATACAATTAAAATGGCCATGTTGTTTACACATGCTTACGCAGAGTTCAAAGTAAAAAAATATATCACTTTATAAAATATTTTAATAAACATTGTATATATTTATTGTAAAAAACGTAAAAAACGTAAAAAAGGTACAATAATGGAAACGTTTGTTTTTTATATTTAAGATTTAACAATTTTTATATCATTCACAGATAAATTAAAAGATATGTGTGATAAATTAATTACTTTATTTTTCAATTACTTGTGAATCATGTTATTTAGTCCCGCAAAATTTCTGGTGGCTATTTTGTTAAGCTTGGAATTAATGGTGGCAAAGGTTTTCTCAAGTTTTGCCTAAGCATTGTTGGTACTGCGTTAAGGGATGAAACCAGCTCACCGCACCAACAACAACCTCTCACTCAAAGGACTGGTAAAGACACTAAAGTCAAGAGACAAACTACTGTTGGGTTTTCAGAAGATTTGCCAAAAACACACTCCAATATTAAACAAATCTGGTCACTGTTTAATGAAAATGGAGTTAAACTAATTTTAGCTTCTGATATGAAAGTTGCAAATATAATTTGTGGTCTTCAAACTCATTCAAGTACGCACCCTTGCACCTGTTGTGACGTTAAATCCAATAGTCTTGCAAAATCCGGAAACTTACAAACACTGGGCTCAATTAATTCAAGCCTTGAGTCTTTTCAGCAATCTGGTGAGGTTGTTGCTAATGCAAAGCTTTTGGCAATGTCATTCGAAAACCGAAAAAACCTTCGGTTTAGTTGTCAAGGCTTGCTTTGGATACATCCTTCAGCCGGATTTTGCTGAAAAAATTGAAAAATTTTAAAAGTGTTACCTAATGATAACTGGTGCAAGTGTAACACCCAAAATTCACGCCGTCTCCTACCACATCAACGATTTGATCAGTCACAAAGGATCCCCCTTATAGTGAACAAACTGTCGAAACTTCTCATCAAGATTTTTATCAACATTGGTCGAGATATAAGCGAAATAATAATTATCCAGAGTACAAAGAAAGATTGTTGCGCTGCATAATTGATCTAAACAGTACGCATCTTTAAAGAACATCATTTGGGTTATTAGAAATTAGGCTGCTGTAATTCATATTTTACGGCGTATAATGAATATTTTCACCATCTTTAAAAGTAGTATTAGAGAGTATTTATATTAAAAAAACACATTGAGCTATTTATTAATATTCTTTTGGTGGAGAAAATCAAAAAAACATTTCTTAAATTGTAATTTGATATTTGATGGTAATACAATGTAAAAAATAGGGTTTAAATAGTTTTCACTTCATTTTAAAAGTAAATGTATTTAAGGAGGTCAATACAAAATATTTTAGGAGATGCACTTTTTATTTGTTTTTCTAACTGGTAGTCCTTTGACCAGGTTTTGCACTTTTTTTGAGCTTTTTTTTTCGCAGCAGTTTATACCTTAGGTTGGTATATTCAAGCAAAGCATACATGGCCGTCAGTGCCGGAGAGGTTGGGGGTCATGTCCTTTTCTACATTTTTTTTGCAACGACCTTTTGTTTTAGAAATATAGGAAATTATTTTAGAAATTATGGATTTTATTTTAGAAATTGAGGGGTTGGCCCCCTCCTCTTTGAAGGCCGTGTCGACACTATAAGCATGAGACTATTTAAATCACGCTTTAAGTAGAAAATCACTATTTTGGCCTATAAAATGAAAACTGTAAATGCACCGATAAGATAATAATTACAAAAATTGTTGGTATTACATTGTAAAACACTCATGTAATCGTTATTTTAAAAATAGTGACCGAATTTCAAAGTAATCGGTCATGCTCTGAGGTATAAGTAGCAAAAAACTGAAAAAACCTCAACTAAAACTTTAATAAATCCTACACCAGTCATTCAATCAGGCTGAAATTTTGTCCAGAGTTTTATGTGACTACTGGCTACATTTGTACCAATTTTGAGTGGTTATTGATTTATTGAGTGGTTTAAATTCTACAATTGTTTTTATTGGCGCACTATGAAGTCAAAATTTGACTTAATTTGAACATTCAAATTAAGTTATTTTCTGCGGAAAAAATTAAATGATTTCAAAAATTGCATAACAGGGTACCTTGATGTGTACGCTGACTTTCCGTAAAAGTGGCGTTCTTGGGACAGCTAGGTTGGCATTATAAGGATCCGTGCTAACCGTGTATATATATATATATATATATATATACATAAATATATATATATATATATACATAAATATATATATATATATATATATATATATATATATATATATATATATATACATATATATATATATATATATATATATATATATATATATTATATATATATATATATATATATATATATATATATATATATATATGTATATATATATATATATATATATATATATATATATATATATATATACATATATATATATATATATATATATATATATATATATATATATATATATATATATATATATATATATATATATATATATATATATATATATTTATAAATGCCATAAAAAATATAAAACCATATATAATTTATGGTAGTGTGTTCTATATATATATATATATATATATATATATATATATATATATATATATATATATATAACCATTTACCTAAGCACAATAACTGTAATTGAAAAACTCAAATATGTTTCTCTTTCTTATTTTAAATAGTTTTTCTTTTCTTTTTTTTTATTTTAAATTACTTTATTTGCAAGCTGTATATTATTTTTATTGTGCAGCCAAAGCAAAATCCTAAAAATATTTGTTTTCACCACACAAAAAAATGACACCTTTGTCAAACATATTGGTTACGCTTACGAAAAAATGGTTTTATATTGACCACGCAAAACAATTTTACCTCAACCAAACAAAACAGTTCAATGTTAGCCCTATTACTATTACTACCATTTGGAAAGTTTGAAAAAGTTTTTAATTTGATAATCTTGACTAAAAGCTTCATAATTAAATTGATATAGAATGAAACTAAATGTAATACTTTAATGTAAATGGTACATTAATTTTATTTAATTAATCTATTACCGTTTTCATAGAAAACAAGTTTTCTTCTTTTTGTTGCAAAAACGAAAGGTAATTATTTTTGTAAGTAGCAGCCATGTTGGGATCAATGATCTAAATAATTAAATATACATAAAAATTATTGATTATGTAATCAACTCACTAAAACTGAAACGCATTTTTAAAATCGTAACCTGCATTGGTTCAGAAAACAATTCATTTAGAAAAGCGCTTATGTTAGAGAGTTGCACATAGTTTTTGTCTAAAAAAAAAAAAAAAAAAAAAATATATATATATATATATATATATATATATATATATATATATATATATATATATATATATATATACATATTATTTATTTAGTTTCTTGCATTAATTATAAAAATCATTTAAGTTACATAAATAAGATATATAGAAACAGACAGGGGCTCAAAAAAAATACGGATGACTAGTGTCACCATAGTCTTTACATCGGGACCCATTAACAACAACATTAAAGCCAAAATATTTTTAACATTAAATTTTTATTTTTTTTATATTTTTAATTATATTTTTATTTTTAATTATATTTTTAACATTTTAAAATTAAACATTTATTTTGTAATAAATTTTACATACAAAAAAAAAAAATTAAATTAAACCTCGTTAAAATACAAATATAAAATTCTTTAATCAAACATACTCTATTTATATATATTTATATATAAATATATATATATAATATATATATATATATATATATATATATATATATATATATATATATATATATATATATATATATATATATATATACATATATATATATATATATATATATATATATATATATATATATATATTATATATATATACATATATATGATTGCATATTTGGTGTAAAGTGCAATGTCTTCTTAGCAAGATATTCAAAATATCAATTCTTGCAGCCTCACTGCTTATGTCTGCCTCTTTTTTTTTTTTTTTTTTTGTCATATTTTCTAGTATATCCTAGAGATAAATGATATTTAAATTACAATCGCTTTGAATCATGGAAATCTTTTTACTTGAAACTTTCAAAATTTGCTCTTCTAAAAGTAGTTCCTTATTTGACCCTATTGCTTTTAAAGTTAGGTTCCGTATGGAAAGATATAAGGAATAAAGCCTTGAATTTTTCAATTTTTAACCTAAACTTTTAGGTGTGTTAAAAATATTATCAGACATTTTGCAAAAAATAATTTGTTTATTTCAAATGAACCAATGTGCAGTTTATAACAATTGCTTGTTATATAAATCTTCATTATAATTTCTTCACCATTTATGAACAGTTAACGCTAATTGTATGATAAAAGTAGTACTTTTTCAGATCAAGGAAAGGAGATCATCTACTGAGAGATTTATAACAATTATGGCAAATCAAAAACGTGCAGCGCAAGATATGTTTGAGAAAGTGGACTTTTTGAAATTTTAAATTTTATACTAAACTGATAATAAACTTTTATAAGCAGTAATTGACATTGCCTCAGCAATGGAGTTTTGAAAGGAGAAATTAGCAACTGTGCATGCCCACCTTAAAAAATCAGTTCAACGCGTTAGTTTTTTAGAGTAGTTGACAATAAGTCTCTTGCAAATGGCTATTTAAAAATCGGAAATATGCTCCCTAGATTAAAAGTATCCTTAACCCTGTTAAGGGTACTGATAATCTAGCTAAACTACGCTGAAAGGCTCAGGGTCTTAATGCACACATGTTGTCTATGGAAACTGGAATACATGCAGTTATCTGGCATGAAATCTTAGAAAATAGAGTTAAAACTAATAAGTCATTTTGAAATCCAATACTACACTTGAATAACATGGTGGCCAGCATCATGGTGGCCAGTATCAAACCTCTGAAGGAACTTGTCATATTAAAGCGTAAATGTTTTGAAAAAAAAGAGCAAATAAAAATAAAAATTATTTTGATTATGATTACCATCATTATGATGTAACTTTCGCTCGCTTTATTGCGGTTCTTATGAAGTAATGCGGAGTTACATTGACATGTGGGTAACATTAACATGTATTAAATTATATGCTTTTCGTTACCCGTTGATTATTATTTAAGTTATTTTAACAGATGTTATAGCCAGGTGTTAAATGAGCAATTATAACCATTTTTATCCACATAATTTTAAGTGTAAATAACAACAAAATACGAAAGGCATAATTTAAACTAATTATTAGTTTTTTTGTTGCTGAAAAAATTTAAACAAAAGATAAGTAAAACCATGCTTGATATCATTTTTACATGTTTTTTTTATGATATTGTTTCTAAATACTTAGCATTTAAAATGTACCATTTTTTTTTTAAACGCATATTTCAGTTTTGGGGTAACATTGACAGGAATGCTTAAGTCACCTCATGGGCGAAGAATCAAGCAAAAGTTGGCGGAATGTCGTTAATCTGATAAATTTTTCACAATTACATGAAATGGAATCAAACAAAGCAAATCCTGAATTTAAAGACTATTCTAAAAAAAAAAGAAATGTACCAAATTATCATATGTCACAGATCTAAAAAACGACACTTGCAAAAAGTTAAAATCCTCACCTTACAATGTTACATAGTATTGGTAAGAACAAAACATCAAAACTTTAGGATGTAAAAAAATTATCTTGTTGTTTCTGAAATTAAACCAAACACTAAAAAATTTGTAACGAAGAAATCCAACAAAAAATTACAGACCTGCGGGATTTCGTCGTAGTCAGATATTGAGTAATTAATGTTTTGTAGACCTTTATAATTTGAGAATTCTTAGAGAAAAAAAGTTTTAATCATAAATTAACCTAAATTAAATATTTTTAAATAAGCATTATCGGGACTGAATCTAATTGATATCTTTCAAAAACTAATATAACATTATATTCTGATTGCAATTTTACAACTTAACGCTGCTAATTTCTAAAACAAAAATGTAGGTTGGTGCGAATATATATCAAAAATTATTTCTCTTTTCTCAAACTTTTATGTCAAAATTCCAATAAAAATTTTACCCCTCATGATGTAACTTTAACATTTATAGCATGATGTATCTTTAACATTTATAACATTTAAGACATACTACTGTCAATGTTACCCCGTATAGGATTAACATTGACAGTTGAACCCCATTAACAATAATAATTAGGGGAAAGCTGGGCAACATGGCGAATGGAGCAAGATGGGTTTTCATATAATAAATCAACAAAAAATCCTAAAATTGGGTGAAAACGAAACTGTATTTGCATTTTGTATTTTAATACACCAATTGGTTTTTTGAAATATTATTAACGCAATTTTATTCGCATGAGTTTACTTTTTGCGCTTAAAAAAAAATCATCTTTTTCGTTTCTCATAATGAATGGTGTCCTTCAAGTTTAACTTCTTTAGAAGTCGTTTTTTACGGTTTGTGTTTATTTTTTGTTACTTTAGTTAGATTTATTAGCAGTTTTTAAAATTTTCATAAAATTGGAGGTAAAAATTGCATAATAAGTCATCTTGAACGTGACTAGATGACAAATTTATAAACTTTTTATTTTAATATTTATTTCAAATTGTTATGTTTGCAAACGAAAAATTCATGCAGGCAATGGAATCATTTTAGTAACATAAACATACTCAGAAAGTATCATTGCTTCACGACTTATAGTTTTGCAATAACTCAAAGCTTTCAAAACGTTCGCCATGTTGCCCCGCTTTCCCCTATATATAAATAATATTAGATAACTGATTAAATTCTTTATCAGTTTATGGCAGCAATATGATTGGTAAACTCATAAAAATATTGCGTACCAAATTTAGTTTGTCACAGCTAAAAAAAAAAAAGAATATTTTCTAAAGATGTGTTGATGTAACCAAACTTTACCTTAGTCATAGTTATATAGTATTATATATTGTTGAATTTATGAAAAAAAGATGTTTTGCAACTATTTTAATAAATTTACTTAACCAATAAAAGTTTAAAAATATTTATACCTGGAAAGGAATATTTGTAAAAACTACACAAAAATCGCTTTGATGTAACAAACTGCGGACCATTCCAGAAAGGAACTGGAATTTTAAATGATTTGATAACATCTTTTTCTTTATCCAATCTTTTTTTCCCATCCATTACTATTCTCTTCATATATAAAATTATAAAACTATTATCGTTGCTCATGCATGTTAAAAAAAAAACAACCTAATACTAGAAGTATTTGTTTTTTAGATTTGATAATATTTTTTTTGTATTTTATTGCAAATCAATCTAGATATTATATATAAGATATTAAATATCAAATATGAGACATAATTATGTATTTTATGTAAAATCTATATATATATATATATATATATATATATATATATATATATATATATATATATATATATATATATATATATATATATATATATATATATATATATATTGTTGCATATTTATCGGTAACATTATTTTATATATCTGTTGCATTTTCTTTAATTTTATCCAAAAAAATATAACAATACTCTATTATTTGTTTTAATATTAATTATATGTCAACATCTTAGTTAAAAAAATCATTTTTTTAGTTTTAAACGTCACACGAAAACACCGACTATTTCTTATTCTCAAGGTTTTTTCTTCAATAGCTATTCTGTTCATTTTATTCATATTTTGAAAACTCTATGGTTTTTATCAAAACAGTTCAATAACATTTATAATATATTAAAATAACTGAAATATTGATGATTACTCAAAAAATTTGAAGCATACACACTTGATTATTATTTCTTATCCACGAGGGATTAGGAAAGATCCTTTGAACTAAAATATTTCTTATATCTTAAACAACTTATTTCATCCATTAAATAAATATTTTATTATTATACATACTTCAATAACAACATTTTTTCAAAAACTTAAAAAATTAACAATATTAAAGTTAAATTGAGTTTAAACATTGAGTTTAAACATTGAGTTTAAACATAAAGTTAAATGGAGTTTAAACATAAAGTTAAATTGAGTTTAAACATTTTTAATTAACTTTTCAATATTTTGTTTATTGTCTATTTGTTATGCAAAGTTTTAATAATTTGCGTTTTTTTTTTGTTTGTTTTTTTATGTCATTATGTTTAAAAGACTCAAGACTGGTTGATAAAACCTTCATAATTTTAATATCAATCCTTGTCATAAAAATGTAAAAAAAAGGTTTTCTTTTCTAATAAACATGCTTTTACTTCAGAAAAATAACATAGTTGTATTTGATTCTTGTGCTTTTTTCGGAGAAAAAAATTTTTTTTGGTAGACTTTTAACTAATTTTTTAAAACTATAGTATATTTTTATAGCATTATCTAAAGCTTTTGAGAAATCCAATCATGAAATATAATTAAAAAATTATATATATATATGTATATATATATATATATATATATATATATATATATATATATATATATATATATATATATATATATATATATATATATATATATATATATATATATATATATATATATATATATATATATATATATATATAATATAGGGTATTGTTATATTTATAACAATAGGCTAGTTTTTTAATTTATAATTTCAAAAGTATTTTAAACAATATCTAGAATTAAAATATTGTTTAACATACTTTTCATAAACTCAATAAACTTAAAACACTTAAAAAGCTTTAATCTTTTATCAAACTTGTTTTTGCTAATGCTTTCATTTTTACTTTATTTTTTTTATTACTTTATATAATGTTTAAGTCAAAAAAAGTTGATTGATGGACAGGCTTGTGGAAAACACATATGATCAAATACAAATGCAATTGTATATGCATATATATTGTACATTGTAAATGCATGTATAAATACATGCATTCTAGGTTTCTAAATACAAATACAAATGAAAATATTTGTATGGTACAAACCTAGCGCTCTGTGATTAGTAAACATAATAGTTACTATATTTATATAATATATAATAAGTTATTATACAGGTATTTTGTTATATAATTTAGTTTGTTATTTATGTTTAGTTTATTATGACAGGTTTAATAGTATAGGCTGTAGTATCTTAATTGTACTTAATTCATGCAATAACTAAATAAGTTATTAATTAAAAAGGAAATAACACAAAAAGATAGTTGTATAGACCTAAAATATAAATTTTATTTTTATTTAAACGAAGTATTCAAAATATTTAGCCAGAATTTTAAAAAGCTACCATGACTTTGAATTGGATTTTTCTATGATTGACGTGATTAAAACAAGCAAATGAAGTAGGTGGTTTGATTTTATGTTTGAACGAAACAGCCGATTGGAGGTAGGAACCAGCACATCCACAAATCTAATTTCTCCTAAGAGCCAACTCTCCTCAAGTGGAGAGCCATTATTCTTTCTCTGATTCAACAACAAACGTGATAATTATTTTTCCTGTTCTAGCATTGAAACAATACAGGTTTAATATTAATGTTATCATGATAAACCTTAGCTGGTTTTCTTTGGCCATAAAGGCTGTAGGTCAGTCAAAGACATTGTAATTTTATACTACTATGGATTCAATATTACTTTGAACTTAGTGACATGTACATTTCTTATATTAAATAGAGTAATATGAGCCATATGATAGTTATTGCTTTATTTTCTACTTTTTTTAGCTAAAGTTCACAAATTTAGGCAAGAGCTTCAATCAGCATGTGTTTGCAACGTTAGATCAACAAGCAAAAGTGAAGGGAATAAATTGCCGCTTAGCAACTGAAATGGCAAAGAAGTCAAAACCTCTAGTCAATAAGAAAGTGGTGCATGTAAGCTAGATTCAAATCGTAATTTGACAAAAAAAAATTTTTAAATGAACATCGGATTAAGAAAAGAACAACTTCAAATGATTCTTTTATGGACCAGCTGTTGTTTTTAAATTATTCAAAAATATTCATAAAAGCACTTTATTAATGTCTTCTTATTATTAATACACTAATACAATAATAATGTTAATAGTTTGTGCGGCCATTGCGCAGTGGTTAAAAATTCGAAACGAGCTTTGGACATATTTTGCGTCGCGGTGAGGAAGGATGCACTTCCGCGGTGCTCTGTGACGAGACCGTTAGGTCTTCTTGAGGCACCTAAATAACAAATTTAAAAAAAAAACACACTCTTTTCTTGTCTTTGATCCCTAAAAAACAATTTAGACATGAAAATAAATCTTTATCAGAAAAAAAAATTAAAAAAATTAATTGATCTTGGCGAACACTAAAAACTAACAGATGGCAAACATGCCTTTCTTACTGCTGGTCGTATTTATTATCAGATGTCATTCATTCTATTAGCAACGAAAAGACCAACTTTGGATCTATAGGCTAAGACAAACAGATTTACAGAAAAACGAGCAAGAAATAAATGTTTGTATTGAACCAAAAAGTTGGGAACACTGGGTGTTTTACCCTACTTCAATTTTGTAAAATCAATTAGGCAGTAACCTTTAAAAATAAAAACTATTCTTTTGTATTTATTAACTTTTAAAGTGTATATACTAAAGGCTAAATACTTATGTATTATACTATGTATTTTTTTAATTTATTTAAATCAACAATTCTTTTTTTCTTATAAATTTCCATCTTTAACTTTTTTAACAATAATATTTAATGCTTTATCCGAATATAAGGTTCTTTCACTATTTTATACGGATATAAATTTTTATTATTTTTATTTGAATATGAATTGTTTAAAAATATATTATTAGCCCGTTTTAATCTTGTTATGGAGCCTTTAGAATTTTTGCCGGATTTTTTTTATTTTTTATCATGTCTATTTTTGTGTATTTTTGAAGTTTCACTATCACAGTTTTGTTTTGCTTTAAAAATTTACATTTTATCTCTAGTTCTATAATTTTTTTATAACTTTTTTTTCATGCAGGAACTTCAGCCTTCTACTTTAAACGGGCCTTAGGAAACTGTCCAAAATGTCTAATAGGTAATCCGCCCCGGCATTACATTGTTTTTAAGAGTTTGTTTCATGCGGAGTTATTATTGAAAAATGATAAAATAAATAAGACAATAGCAGATTAAAAAAGCAAGTAAAAAAAAAAATGAAAAAGAGTTAAAAATGATAAGATATTAAAAAAGAAAACTAATTCCTTTAAACTGTCATCATGGACAATCTTTTATTATGTAAATAAAGCTCTAGCACTTCTATTAAACTTGAAATTAGCAAAGGATTCATGCAAACATTTGAGAAATCAGACATATTCAAAAGGTATAAATACTCTGTATCAACCGTATTCAACTGTTTAGGCAACAAAAAATTTTTTCTACCCTCCAGACAACACCCTAAATTTTACCAAAAGAAAAGCTGATATGTAGTTGCAAGTTAGACCACACCGTTCAACGTGTTTTGAATGCTTAACAAAGACAATATTTTATGTATGAGTGATTTAGAAATATTGAATATGACTTTTAATCGTTAGCATGTCTTCGACAAAACTTCCAGTCAAAACATTTGTAAAATGGCGGGTACATATATAAGATGAAAGCTTATTTTTTACTTTGCTTGTTTCATTGCATTTTTTAGATTAAAACCAAGAAACGTAAGGAAATAGGATTTTTTAGAGTTATCTAAAGCCGCCTTCAACCCTTTTTCTGCAGACCTCTGAAGTTGTAATTTAAAGAGACAAGTTTAAAAAACTTTAAAAAACCAAAATTTAAAAAACCGAGACAAGTTGTTTAAATAAGAAATGGTATTAGTCAAACAGTTAAAAACAGTTAAAAAACTACCTATTAAAAACAACTTTTCATAAGAAAAATATTTTATTTCAATACAATTTAAGTATGACATAATAGATGGTAAAGTAAGCTATTTTTTCATTTCAGCGGCGCTACCTTTGCCAGACAAAGTCCTACCAATTTAACAACATCTGCAAAGTATTGAAATGACGGGTAACCATCGATATACAGTACGGAAGCCAACTTTAAAAATGCTATTAAACGCCAATTATAAATTTTAGTTGACAGACTTTAAAACACAGGTTCGGCAGTTCAAACAAAAGAAATACCGCTCGGCATTTCTATTAAGATATTCAAGCATCATTCTTGAAAACTGGTTTTCTAAAGAACTAATCCTGTGTTTCCTTATAATTTCGCAAACAAATTTCAAAAGACATGAAATTGAATTTGATAAGTTTCGAGCTTATGCTTTAGGCAACTGCCATCTGCCACACTACATCAAAGGATTCCCTTGGTACAATTTGTCAAAATCAGTCCATAGATTGCAGATCAGATAAATTATACACTTCTTGATTAATAAATTAAAAATGAATAATAAATAATGATAAAGTATAAAGTTGGCAAATCAAGAACTGTTACTTTAGAGATTGGAATAAAAATATAGACAATAACTTGATCTGATTATAAGTCCAAACTACAAAAGTTTCTTAATATTTTCAAGTTGTTGCATCATAATATCTTTTTTAATAATTTGATATTATATCATTAATATTGCGATTTTTTAATTTATTTGATTTTCCTTTTCTTTTCTTATATCAATGACATAGCACGTCCACATAAAATATTCATTTAAACTGTTGTATTCCATTGTAAAAAAACAATAACAAAAAAACAAATAGATAACTTAAAAAAAAAATAATGCACAACTTTGCTTTCTAATAATTAAGAAATGTGTTATGTAAACAGTTTATCTTTTAAATACTTGACTTTATTAGAGGTGTTTAAAATATTAATGGCAGAGATATTTAAAATTTGTTATAACAGCACGACCCCTATAAAGCATTTAGTTATATATATATATATATATATATATATATATATATATATATATATATATATATATATATATATATATATATATATATATATATATATATATATATATATATATATATATATATATATATATATATATATATATATATATATATATATATATTTATGTATATATATATATATATATATATATATATATATATATATATATATATATATATATATATATATATATATATATATATATATATATAAAACTAAAACTTTATTTTGAAACAAAATATTAATTAACTTTAATTTGGAGTTTTGACTAATTTTTATACATGTTTAAAGATTATAAAGCATTTTTGAACACTGCGTAATACTTCGACTTTATTATTTATTTTAAATTTAGAGTTCTACTCTCCCAAGACTAAAAACACTTTACGTAGCTTAGCAACAGATTTAATCAAGAAGAATGTGAAAAATCATTTCAAACAAATAAGCTATAACAGTAATTATTTGTTTGTTTGTTTTTTTGTCTTGTTTTTGTTTTACTGTAAATTTTTTCAACATTTTCAAACGTCGTTTTATAAATCATATTTTTAAAACAAAAATGGTTAGACAACGCAATTTTGTTTAAATTCTTTGTAAATATTTTATTAAGACAAATAATTTATCAAGATATGAAAATAAAAAAGTATTTTTTTGGAATAATATTATGGACGCTAGTAGTTTATTTAGAATTCTATTTCATAGTTTTTAAAGAAGTAAAAAACAAAATTATAGATCACGCCGGTCTTGTTTTTAACTCTATTAACAATCATAATGCAGCAGATGAGGATATTGGCGGAAATAAAGACTGTGTTTTAAGAGGTATTTATAAAAAGGTTCACATATATGAGCAACAAAAAATAAGTTGTCAAAATCATGTTTTATCAAAGGTAGGATGTGCGTTTGTTAAAAAAGAATATCCGTATGACAGTGAAAATAACTGTAAGAAAATTCTTCCTTTAGAAATTTGCAAATTTTCACCAAACAATTATTTAACTTGCAATCAAAGTAGCTGCGCAGAAGAGTCCGTTTTTATTCACATAATAAACCCTAAATCGGGCGAAACAACATTTGCGGAAGCAGTATACAAAACAGACAACGAGTTGTCAAACATCGTTCTTAGATATATTAAAATCTCAATTGCGAATAAATTTCCTTTTATATTTTTAAGTTGCGGTGAAAACAAAAATAAAACACAGCTTTTAGTACTAGAGAGTCACTTAAAAACCCATTCTTACTTTAAGTCACATTCTGAAAAAACGCTTCACCTCCATTATAAACAAAAACTAAACATAAATCTAATAATGATTGATTCGGTCTCTCGGGCACATTTTTACAGATCACTACAAAAGACAACCAAAATGTTAAATGAAATAAACTTGAATAGCGAAACAGAGGTGTTGGACTTTGAAAAGTATCAAGCGGTTCATGGTCATACCATGGAAAACGTCAGAGCATTATTTACTGGAACAGTTTTTCCTAAAAATTACACCGAGGAAATGAAAGAGAACGCAGGAGTAGGTGTTGATACATTTATGAGTTATTTTGCAAATCACGGGTTTCATACATTATATCAAGACGATATGTGTTGGAAAGCCCAATGGGGAATAAACTTGGACTTAGGATTATCTGAAAATTGGGTAGATCTTTTTGAAAAAATTAAAAAATCGAGTATACAAGATACTGGTGAGTCATTCATTTTTTTAATTTGAATATTTTGATTTTATATTCAAAATATTGTTTTTATATTAACTACTTTAATTTTAAATTTTGTCAACGTATCGCTGCTACTTTCGCAAAGACCCTTTAATAGATATCTCCAACATAGATATCTCCAACAGAGAACAGAAATTGTTCAAAGCAATACCATGCCTGTAAAAATTAAAACAAACTTTGCGTTTAGCTAATATTTTTTAAGATTCTGATTAATAAATTATTTTTATTTTTACCTTAAACTTTAAAAGTAGCGTAAATTAATGCTTGATTATCCTTTCTATTTGATGCTTGCACGAAGTAACCTTTATATTAAGTTTTATTCCAAATCTATTTTGTAATCAATATGCGTAGAAAAAACTGGTATGAGCAGTGTATGACGTAGTTTATATTAATAAATAAACCTTTTTAGAATAGAACCAATTGCTATGGTTCATAGATATATTAGTGTGCTTTTGATAATATATAAAACTCTAAGTTTCAGCGTTTCAAGTAAATTACATTTAGAGCAAATTTTATCTAAACGAGAGATAATTGAGGCAAAATCTGTAAAAATTCAAAACACTGTTTCTTGATTTTGCTTGAAAGTTTTATTATATAATTTGTAATAATATTATAATTCATTTCTACTAAAAGAACAAAAAACTTATTTAAAATGAGTCACAATATTTGAAAAGATTGCAAAATTATAAATTGGAAAAACAGGTGTTTATGTTCGAAAAGGTTTTAAAACTTTTCTAATTTGATTATTTTGGTACAACTGAAAAACTTACTATTAAGAAACATATTTTTATGATTTCAGCTAAAAAGATTTTCTGGATCCAATTATATCTGGTTTTAAAAAACTCCATTTCTAAAGAGGGACATTTACAAACAATTGTTAATGTACAACTAATTCGGGCGGCCAAAAATTATTAAAATGCTTGCCCAAGTACCCGTTGAACTAACGGGTGGATATCCGGGTGCTCGTTAAAAATATATATTTTTTTAATATCTTATTATAAATAGCCAATAAATACTTTTCCCTCAATTATCTCATTTATTTAGAGTTGTTTTTCTTCACTTATATCTTAAATTTATTTTACTTTAAGTATGAAGGTTACATCACTTAATCACTTAATTTCTATTTGGGGATACAAGGAGACTAATTGTTTTGGTTGCTAAAGATGAACGCAGACAATTGACCAAATGTCCATCAGTCAATAAAGCGCATTTTGATGGCACTGAAATTGCAGATAGGCACATCTACTCGTGCGCCTAAATAGTGTAATTATATCTTCCATCTTCTAGATTTTAATAAACTCTTGTCTAAGAGACAAATTAATAAAAAAAGTTGGAATTTTTTTGATTTATTGAAAGGGAAACATTCAAACATACAAAGTAACAATAATATTTTTTATTACCATTATTTATTTATTTAAATTTTATGCTGTTCCTAGCTATACAATGCTCTTATATCCTAAGATATTGTCGGTTTAGCATTGGAACAAGAACAAATAGTCATAAAAATAAATTCAAAGTACCGTCCGTTATTACCAATATTTTGGCGTACCGAAGTACTCAAGCACTGAGTTATTGCTGACTGGACTCGTATTTCTCTACAGCCTAGTTTTTAACATTTGGCTCGACGCTCAAACTAAATGAGCTATCTAGCCACGTTAAAAATAATCATTGAGGAATAATAAATGAGTATCTGAATCCGAAACTCAAATAACATTTGGAATGTTATATTTAATGTATTCAGAAATTCTTATTTTGAAAAAGAAATCACAACTATTAAAACTTTCAATAACAACAATATTTTCTTTCAAGTTAATATTATTAAATTCTTATCTTATTTTTTTTTAATATCTTCTTTCAAGTTAATATCATTAAGTTATTATACTACAATTAATGATTTTAAACTTTCAAAATAAATGAAAAATTTTTTAAACTTATCAGTTATCTGTTGTTTGATAATGCTACCAGGGCAGTAACCATCAGGCCGGTACATGGGTACCCGGGTACTCGTTGATAAACTTACAACTACTAATGTGTGATAAAGACCTTAAATTGTATAAACATTTATTTTAACATAAAAATAACAACTACAATAATAAAGAAAAAGTATATTTATTTTAGCACTGCTTTTAAAACAATAATAAAGATGGGCCTTTTTGTTCATAGTCAGAACTCTAACCACTGCGGCACGGCTGTTTAACATTTACCAATTGATATTATATCTTTGCTAGCTTTGTAATTTTTAGCCAAATATTGAATCAGTCCGTTCATGACGAAATAATGGATATTGGTGCTGTTTCACTTGGATTACTTTTTTAATTTTGTAATTTAGATCAGTTAAGAGGATTAGGAGGATTAGGATTAGCTGTAAAAATTGTTTACTACAAATTTTGCAAATGATTTTTTAAATTTCATACTTACACCTTTCATACTTAGACCTGGGATTCAAGGTAAAAAATCAGTTACAGTTAATGCTGTTTTTTGTTTTTTTTTAATATTAAGCACGACGTCTTAAAAACGTTTTAAACAACAATTTAGTTACATTTTTAGACGTCTTTTATAGATTTTTAAATCGTCTTTTAGATGTCGTGTGTTTAATGGATAAAGCATTGGGGTGAAGTAACGAATTCGTTGCAGTTAATACTTTTAGTTTTTGAATTCTAAAAATGATATGAGCTGTTTTATTTAAGTTATGCATACCATAAAGTTAAGTTCAAATATTTTCTTTTTCAGGTTTTAAATTACTCGAAAACAATCAAGCTTTATTGCGGCCGTGGAGCAGTGGTTAGAGCGCTTGCTTTATAACTATTTTTATTAGTGTAAGAATTTATATGTATGAATAAAATAAATAAATATATATATGGGCGATTCTATTTTTAACTTACGTTACACGCGGAACAACTTTATAAAATAGCTATTCGGTATAAAAACCGTTAGTCTAAAGAATAAAATAAGCTGAAAGTATTGAATTCGGCCAAAAGAAGGCGAACTTATTACTGAAAATGTCACTTAACTTACGTTACACAAAAAACAGGGTAAAAAAATTGCATCAACTTTTTAGGTTAGTCTTTTCTGCGAATCAGTAAAGCGGATTGTATTAGAAACTTACACAAGATGTTAACAATTGTATCCCAATTTAAAAATTATATAAAAATTTATCAGAAGTGGCCGGCTAAAGAAAATTAAATTGTTTTTTTAATACTTTTATCTATTATTCCGAGTTAGAGTTACGTTACAAAAGAATTGCAAAATTATTGAAGGGTAAAACACCCAGTGTTCGCCAATTTTCCAGACTTAGTCCAATATAAGTATTTATTTCTCACTCGTTTTACATAAATGATAAATATTTTAATCTTAGCCTATGGATCGATAGTTCGTCTTTATGATGGCCATAAAATAAATCATATCATTGCGTGTAATCTAAAAATAAAAAAGAGAAAATGACATTAATAACTTTAGTCACTTTGAAATTGTTCTTACCTGAATAAGATCCTGTTTTAGACATTCTTCTTTTGCTTGTATTGGCTTAGTTTACACAACTTTTTTTTTTATTAAGGGTTTTGATTTCTTCGCCAACTCAGTTGCCAAACGTTTGTCTATTCTTTCAACTTTAGCATGCTCTTGGATTTTCTTTTTCTCTTTTATTTCCGGCATAAGAGTTACAACTTGATCGGATGTCATAACGGATGCTGATTGAAGCTCTTGCGCAACAGTGCGAACTTTAGTTAAGAACAGTTTATAATTGTACGATAAAAAAATTTTATTTTTATGACCATACATATTACTAGGTTCAATATTAAAATAAAGTTAAATAATAAGTATTTAAATTAAATTATAATTATTCATATATGTTCTAAAAATACAAAAAGGTTTCTATTCAGTGAAATTATAAATTATCAAAAGTAGCGGTTTCTAGAAAGTGAGTGATGCGAAAACTGGAAAATATTTAACTGCTTATTACACGGTTGTTTTTAAATAAAGTTAAACCACACCCATACCGACAAGTGTGCAAGTGTTCATATTTTACAATAAAGAAAAAAAAATCAAATTTTTTTATTTTTTTTTTGTGGCGAATACTAGCAAGGGGCTAGTAATCACCACCAAAACCCTACCTTACTCCACGCCCACCCTTTTCAAATTCATCCGCTAATTCTTTGTTTATAAGATACTCAAGCATCTTAACAAGAGTCTGAGAAAAAAAAAAGCCATAAAAATATAAATACCTATGATTTTTTGGTGATTATCCAAAAGCTTATCAAAAATTTGTCATTAAGCATTAAGAATTTTGGGGTAAAGTTTTTTTTGCAATAAAACCTGTACTTTTATTTTTAAAGGTACGATCGTCATATTTTTGTCAGTTATAAAAAGAACATCAGAACAGAAGAGAGTTTTTTTAAAATGCGATTTCGAAACTTTCCAGCAATTAGTTTTAGCTCTGCATGTTTTTTATTGACCAAGTGGCGAAGACTAGGTCGAAAATATATATATATATATATATATATATATATATATATATATATATATATATATATATATATATATATATATATATATATATATATATATATATATATATATATTAGGGTGGTGCTTAAAACAACTTTTTTGAGAAAAACCTGCTGGTACCCCCTAAATGTGTTTTATCTAATACAAAAACACTAGGTTTAAAATTTTTTTGAACAAAAATTATTTTTAGGGGTAGCTCAAGGCCCTCAAAAATTTGACGGGTCCCTAATATTTTGAAAAAAAAACTTTTTCTAAAGTATGTCAACCTGGTACTCAAAAGAAGCGATATTATATAAAAACTTCAAAAATAATAATCATTTTACATAAAAAACATGCTTAAAAAAAATTATTCTCAAAAAACCTGAAAATATTGACTTTTTATTTTCAGCTTAAAAACAATAGTTTTTATGCATTTATACCTGAAAAAATTATTTTTATAAAAAATTATTTTCATTTTTAAATTTTTT